TGAGAAGGTGACCAGAACACGGAGTGAAACGATATCGATTGGGATTTGATTCTGAACCGTCGGGATGAATTAATTGTTCTGTTTGCATCATTGCTTGAGAATCGCTTCCCTGGAGAAGCTAGAGACGAATCACATGGCACCTATTCTTCGACTGCATTTAGCTGTTGAATTTTTATTTGCGCCGAACTTTTCTTCAGGGTAGAACGTTTTCCTCTTGTTTTAGTTCATACAGATCTGCAGTTGTGTCTGTCCATCCCGGATCTATTCAGTCTGTTGCGCTTTGGGCGAGCTAGTCTGATGGATATCCAACGGACGCTGAGAGTTTTCACCAAATCAGTTAGATGATCAGTAGACGGGAGGTGAGGTGAGGGGGGGGGGTCATTGTGATCACGAGGACCTACCACTCGTGTTGTGTAAGCTAATCCGTGGAATTGGCAGTGGCAAACTACGTAAGGCCTCCAATAGGATTAGTGCAGTATGAAGCCGGTTAGCGCGGGATAGATTGCGAACCTAGAGCGTACTGATGATAGCTGCCTACATTGCTTGACCAAAGTCATTCGTGAGCGTGGTATTTTTTTAGGTTGGAGTATAGATGTGAACTCGATGCCCGATCACAATTGTTTACAATAGCCAATTATATCACAATGTCTCTGGCCGTTGGCTGACTAATACCACATTTATCCGATAGTGACATGTACTTTGTATATTTAGTGAGGTAATCATTGGTGTGAAATAAATACACGTTTTATTAAATTGATTGTTTCATTTACAAAACTCTTAGATATGTGAATTTAAGTGAGTGACGTGTATTATACTATTTTTATTACTCATTTGTATGACCAACAGCAGACGGGCTGGAACCCCATGGTCAGGAAGGTTTACTTTTCAGTGATGAAACTTGGGACCTGGGTTGGCGAACCACATGAAGACCCGCTGGGTTAAGTGTAGTATTCTACCGGAGGACAGCGAAGCTGTGTACCACCAAAGTTGGATGTCGGTGGCGGGGCTCAAACCTGGGACTAGAGGATTCAAATCACTCCGGTGAAACGGACTGAAACCACTGTTGTCACCATCACCCTGATCCTTGGATGGAAATTTTCTCAATCGATTCGATAATGGGGCAATAAATAATTGATTCGTTTCGATTATCGTCTAATTTCTGCTCCAGTGGTGTTTTGTCTATACATCTTTTCGCTTCACGCACACGCAAAAAAAGATACGGTCACTTTATACTTCAAATCATTTGTTTCAATGCCCGTCTTTCATGCTAGGTCATTGGTATTTTGTTCGCATCTCCCCCTCCCCGCCCCTCCTAGAATCATGTTCGCTTCTGATCTTGGGGAACTGTTTAGCGGTGTTGGTGGTGCTTCTGGCACTCATGTGACCGGGATTCACAGCATGAACAACGGTGAGAACAACGCACGAAATTCACTCACTCTCAGTCACACTTCCACGGAAGCGAGCTCGGAAAAACACCAAAATACCGCGATCTTGTCAGGCGTTCCGAAAACAGTCTTGCCTAATACGGCCACCGCACTGGAAGATCTATTCAGTTCGGAGTATGAAATCTGTACGAAACCGGCACACATGAACCCCCTAGGTTCTTCTAATCCCGGACCGAGTGTGAAAACACAATCACAGACAAGAAACACGGCTAGTGGGAATACTGCTTTGACGGAGTCTGCTACACCGGTCGGTATGAAACAGGCTCCCGTGGTCCAGACACACAGTCGCGGCGCGCTTCGTTGTCCGGTTTGTGACAAGGTAACTGGTTTCTTTTGTATTTGTTGAATACTCTCGTAATGTTTGCTAAAAGTCAGTGCAATAATGATGATGATAATAATAATAATAGTAATATATAACGCACTTTTTGAGCCTGTTCGGATGATTATATTTCGATTACCCATTTGGTAGAGCTTTGAGTGGCGAACCCGATAAGATATTATTTTAATTACTTTACTCTACGGTGTCTGGTTCCTGGGAGAGGATAAGCCGGCTTCATGAGTATCCCAAATTGTCACTGCCAACGCTCGACGGTCTGTGGAAAGATCAGCGCACATTGTAATCCAGCTTGACTTCGATTGGCGATTGCCATAGATGGAACGGTGTCCACGGGGTTTCCGTATCCTTGTGTACCGTCTAGCCAAGTTTTCAGTCCGTTATCAGACGTTCAAAGCATTTGACCAAACTGTTGTAGTCACTGCCACTGTATTAGCGTTGGCAGCCGTACAAGATTAAAACACCAGTTTCTGATCGCTTCATTTGAGATCTGATCCCCCCCATCGTAGGTACCAGTGATCCAAGATTTCTAATCGTGAACAGTCTTGGACTCTAAGTGACCATTTTTTGCTGCCATATAGCAAGACAGGACGGGCTGTTACGGAGAAAACTGGATTCCATTTCTACTCCAAAGGGAATTCTTCGTCTGTATTAACGCCTTTCTTGTAGCATCGATGCGCACTTGTACCTTGTCCCAGCATTTGACAGAACACTGATGAAGGAGTAAATACAAGAGGTACAAAATTAAGACCATTATTTTCAAGAGAAAGATCCGGAGCAAAATGCGCACCGAAAATGAACAGATGCATCCATGCAGTACCTATTCAAGACATTCTCCCAGTGTTGATAACGATTGATTAGGCCAATTCCGAACCGACAACCCGAACGCATTGATCTATGCAACCAAGTCCTCTGATTGAAGCTTTCATACCGTCTTCTCAGGTCGTGATGGCGCAGTGATTTAGTCGTTGTCACCGGCGTGCTTTGGACCCTGTGGTCCGAGATCCAATCCCCTTGACGATAGGTCGCTCTGCTACCGTCCGGTTCAATACCACGCCTAACCTATCGGGGCCGTCTGTGGTTTGCCACTTCATGTCTTGGGGCTTAGATTGCCGGTTTCCACCACTGAACAGCAGGTTATCTGGACTGTGGATTTCACCTCGTCTGCTGTTTCTCACACAAATGTATGTAATAAAATTAATACATGTCAGGTGTTCGTTGAGCCACTCTTGACCCGCTCGTTCCTCTACTTCCCTCTGTAAATATTTCGTCAAAGCAGCTTGATTGTTGTAGATCGCATAGATACCCGCTTGTGCCCTTCCCTCCCCCCGTTTTCGGTGGCTAAAGAGCTGCACACCGGTCCACGCGGATTTGTGTCGGTACTCTCACTGCAGCCGGAATTCACTGCATAATCCTCTGCGTATATTTTTTTTGACTTACAGTCAAAACAATAAAACAAAATTAGGGATGTGCATTAAAAGATGGACAAACATGAAAAAGTGAATATTATGGGTTGGCGTTGTCAGAATTTTTTCTTTTTTTGTCCTGTTTGTCTTTCGTGCTTGTGTACTGTTTGCATGGTCGGGGGCGGGTGTCTAGTCTTGCGACTGGTCACCCTGCCCTTGCACCTCTTGCGAAATAGTCTCAAGCGTCTCGAATAGCCTCTGCTAAGGAAGTCCTACTCATTATCTTCTCATGGC